TCTCTCTCTCCCCCCCCCCTCAGATGTGACCCTCAGCGCTCTCAACGACTCGGACGTGAACAGCGACCTGGTCGACATCGAAGGACTCGACTCCAACAAGAAACTGAACTTCGACCAAGGTCAGTCTGTTTATTGTTTGTTTGTTTGTTTGTTTGTTTATGGGACTGATGACGTTGTTTATTAGGGATTAATCTGCAGATGATTTCCTCCGTTAATCGTTAATCTGTCGCCTCAGTAACCTCGAACCTCCTTTATCTTTGTGTCCTCAGAGAGCCTGAACCTGGACTCCAGCCTCATCATGAACTCCAGTGACCTCCCCCTCCTGTCCCGCTGACCTTCGACCTCTGCAGAAACGCCCAGAGGAGCTCTCCTGACGCGCTTCAGCTTTCTTATCATTCACTGACGTGTTTTTAGGTTTTAGTTTTAGTTTTCTACGTCCCGTGTCGTTATCATGAAGAATAACCGGCGTCGACCTCGTAGAGACGCTTTAACACGAAGGAGCTTCCTCAGCCGGCTCAATCCTCTTTAAACGGTCTGTCTGCCGGATTATTAGTCAACACCTTTCTATTAAAGTGTCTCAGAGCTACGGAAGCTTACTGCTGCCAAACAGGAAAAGAAAAAGAAATCGGTATCAAAATATATCGTAAACAGTTTGTTGTTATAACGGGATATTTTTATGTTATTGCGACGTTCAAACTAATTATAATTCCGACATGTTCTGTCTGTTATCTTGTTCTAACAGTAACGTTTTAACGTTGATCAGACGCAGGTTAATATTATTTTGTGCGAAAATGTGAAATATTGGAAGATGCTGTAATCTATAAACAATAATAATCTGACGTAACGTTCCCTAATAATCAATAATCGTAATAATAATAATCATGATTAAACCTCCAGCCGTCGGACATCAGAGCTCAAATCACATTCATAATAATTCACTGTAAATCATGGTTCATAGAGTTACTATGGTAACAGATGTACCATAGTAACTCGCTCACTGCTGTCTGTCTGTCTGTCTGTCAACAGTGAGAAACACCTCGCTGACTGACCAACAGTTTCTACGAGGGGTCAGATTCAGTAGGAGGAAACCATAAAAGTAATGTAACTAATTGTTTTTAGGATTACTTGCCCCCAGATACCGACAGGAACCGCTCATAATTCAGCTGCTACAGTCCCGGATACGTCGGTGAAACGGTTCAGATCTTTCTTGTTTCATTCAGAGTTTCTGAGCAGCTCGAAGTTTCCAGGAAGTTCTCTGGAAACGTTAAAGAAGTTTACGGGACGAATGCTGAACTCGAGGGACAAGTTATCTAATCTGTCTGTCATTGTGAATAAATCTGCAACCAGTGGGTCTGACTGCCCGTCTGTGGCTCTGAGCTTTAAACACAACTGTGTTTGTTTGGGACTATTTCCAGCGGCGGATGAATCCTCATTTGGTGCAGCAGCAGGACGGTGAGGAGATCCAGCCGGTTGCTTTCAGTCTGAATCTGTAGCAGACTGATTATTGATCATGATGGTAGAAAATCTGCTGATTGAACATTTTATGAGTCAGTGACGTAAAAACAGTTTTCATTTCGTTAAATAAAAAAAACCTGAGAACAGTTTGTGTCTGTTGATTTATTTCTTTTGTTTCTTTTGAAAGTGACACGAGAACAAACCGACTACAGCGGTTTGTAGTTTAACTTTAAATTTAAAGAAACACCTTGAATTTGTTCCAAATGACCAAATATCCTGTAAAGTTTGAATCGTATTTCAGCCCCTCACTCAGAGTAAAACCCAGTGGAAACATTTCTTCTTGTTCTGGTTAATAATCTATGATGGAGTATTGAGGCCATACTAAGAGGAAAAGTAAATAAAATGTTGGAAATTACAAGAAAAAAGTCGTAATATTACGATAATAATGTAATATTAATACAAGAAAAAAGGTCGTTTTAATGAGAAAAAAGCTTCGATCGTTATCAATATCTGACGTAAGCAGCTCAACCAATGAGCAGCTTCAGCCTGAGCCCAGCAGCCGCTGTTTGAATCAGTCGGTACAGTCAACAGGTAAACTAACGTATTCATCATTTTGTTGTTAAACATTTTATAACAGTTTTGCTGGCTGAGCCAACAGGCTGACAGTTCTCATACAATTACTACTTTATTCTCACAATATTATGACTTTATTCTCATAATATTACTCTAATTCCCCCCCCAAAAAAGCCTTGGCCCTAATACTCGTAATAAACACATCCACAGCTCCGGGAAGAGGATCTCTTTAAAAGAGCGAACCCTGTCTAATGTATGAAGTGAATGAATTTACAAGTGGGCCCAAATAATGAAGAATCTGCGTTTCAGACTTTCTCCTCAACCGACGACTGTAAATGAAGTGATTTTTAAAGGGAGTCTGGTGTTGTGGTTAGTTGAGACCAACTGAAAACAGGAAAACTGATGTTTTCTGATCAGACGAGAAAGAAAACACAAACATTGATATGATACAGATTCTTTTATTGGTAGTTTTCATATACAATATAATATATATTTATATTTATAGTGTGTAGATGAATCGTTTCCACTAAAAACTAAAAACTCATTCTGCGTCATTTTTACAGCCACGAGATCTTCAGGAGGGAATGAACACTTGAATATAGACTTTTATTTTACAGTTGCATAAAAATACATCATCTCATCTGTCTTATGTAGAGAATTTGTCCAAAAGAAAAAAAAGAAAACTATTTACAGTTTGAAAATACTTGTGAATGTTTCATAGATGTGCTTTTAGTTCCCTTTTATCACCTCCAGTAACTCTAGCAGCCCTTTTTAAAGTCGGATCTCACTCTGGAGCATCGGAGCCATTTTTCAGCACTTAAGAGCATTTTAGTGTCACCGCACGGCTGTTTCACTTTTTAGGGAAAACAACAAACATTTTTGTTGTTTTTTGGTTCACGAACGTATAAATTTAAAGTGCTTAAAGTTTTCATCGAAATAAAGACGCTGCTGTTCGATCGAACGTTCACAGCCTGAAACAGAAAAACGTACAATCATGAAAAGTTTTTTTTCTGTTGAATATAAGACAGCAGCTGGTTAGCTTAGCTTAGCATAAAAACGGTAGAAACAAACAGATGTACGTTTGTAGGCAGCGGAAAAAAACTTCTCACAGTTTGAAAAGTCGACAACAAAACTTTACCGATTATTGTTTTTTGAATTTAATCAATATTTTAGGGAAAAGGTTTTATTTTTTTCTGATTGTGATGAAATAAAGTTAATTCTTGACTTTGGAACATTTTGTCAACGATCCACTGAAGGGCTGTTTGGTAGCCGGAGCTTTCAGCCATAACTTAATCAATTATTACATTTAAAACTAATGTAATCGACACCGATCACATGATCACAGGTCTCCATGACGACCTTCTGTTTAGCTGCGTACTGGACCTCGAGTTCGGACTGTTCAGATTGATTAAGCTCTCTGGGCTCCGGTGTGATTCGGGGACCTACGGTCCGTTTGGTGCTGAGAAATCGCTGCGTTCTGCCAGAGTGAAATATCGCTTTAATACTGAAAATCATTGACTGGTTTACTTCCTCAAACTTCTGAGTGACAACAGGAAAACAGAAAAGAACGGCGCTCCGCACTCAACGTCAATTCAAAAAACCCATTCCAAGGACTAATTAAAGTATCACTGGCATCATGGGAAAAAACATTTATAATAAAGAGAAGGTTTTATCATCTTAAATCCACGTGTTTGGGAAGAATCTGCGACATTTACACGACCTTTAAAGGACCAGAAGACAAAGGAGGAAATCCAGCAAGCACATAAAGTCGAGGAGGATGAGATTAAAACACATGAATGAATACTTCGTATTTTACAGCTACTGATTCTGATGAAGAATTTTTTGGCTTAAAAACATTCTTTGAAGCAGAAATGTGTCCGAACGTTAACCTCCACGTCACATTTTGATCCAGCGACATAAAAGCTGGTTCTCATACTGTACGCGACGGTGAGTGTGCAAAGGTCCAAATAACAAACAGAAAATAGTCTTAAAGCTACAGTTTGTGTCTGTACAGCGGTGTGAATTTGGCAGCGTGCGTTACCTCAGAGAATATCCTGCTTCTCCAAACCATCGCTAGTTATTCAAAACACATTGTTCTGAAATGATTTAAAGCTCGTCTGATTGTGGGAGTTTTTTCTTTTATCAGTTCCTCTCTGATTGAAATCAGAAGTTTGATGCTGCTTGAGAGTTTTTTGCCCCTAATATCTGACCCCGAATTTATGTTTTTGGATTAAAGGGTCCTCAGATCTTTGGGTCTTGGTCTTACAGTCTTACGCTGTATTTTACTAAATTCTTGTATATCTGCTTGTAATTAGACATTTTAACTTCTTTTGTTGAAGGCGTACAGTATTATTTCTGAAAGTAAGGTTGACGTCGTTCTTCCGAACAACTGTCCCGAACTTGATCTGGAATTATTCTCAACTTCGAGTTGATTTCTCTGAAACAGGATAGACTCACAGACGGTAACGAGTCAAGAAATAAAGCAGGAAAAACAGAAAAAAAAGCAGCAAAAACTTAACGGCATTTCTCACCCGATGATATGTTACTGATCACGTAACAGAAAAAAAGCTTAAATGGTCGAAACTAGAACTGTGCAAAGTTGTGACAATGAAAATATGTCAAATCTAAAACAGATTTGGGAACTTTCTTTCTGAGTCGGAGCAGCAACCCACTCTCACTGACTCATTGTTTTTTGGGGGCGTAAAGACACTTATATAAAAACAGCTTATAGAGAATCTATGTACAGACATATCTCACAGGTGACAGGTCAGGTGATTATAAAAGACGAGGTCGCTCTTTAAAAAGAGCTTCCTGTCGGCGTGGGAAGTAAAATGTTTAAAATCGACGCGCTGACCGCCGCTCCTCCAGAATATGACGACATGTTTAGGCACAATGATGAGTGATAATACAAAACTGTACAATACTGTGCAAGTGCAAGAGTTGGAAGCAGAACTGCAGCTCATTAATGAAACCCTCAGCGCCTCTGACCTCTGACCCCTCCGGTTCCACGGCTACATGCATGCCTGACTACAGGAAGTTTGTGCATTCGTTTTGAATCTTTACAATAATTTCAGACAAAATAAAAATTGCACTCTGGTGAACTTTCACTTATTAGATTCATATTTTTGAAGGAGCTGGTTGCACCAACTGAACACAGAGCGGCGTGAAGACTACAAGACTACAGACTGAACCTAACTGAAACCGAGGTTGCAGTTAGGAACCTGGACTAATAAAGACCAGTTGGTGCAACTCATCCCTGGGAATTTCTACGGGGACACCAGACAGTTTCCAGTGCACACCAGAAACCTGATGATGTTCCTAAATGGGGACGCAGATTTTGGACTGAAAACATTCAGATTTGTACAGGACCACCGAGGGTTGGGCAATACGGGTCAAATCATCAAGTCATTTCTGATTTACTGGATAGAGACGAACAATAAGTTCGATAAACGATCATGGTGAAGTACTGCCCAGCCCCAGGATGACCACGGACCATCAATCTTAGGGGGATTCTTTGAAGTGCAAATAGAGAGAATGGAGAGCTGTTGACACAAAGACCGAGATCGGTCCTGGTTGATGGGTGACAGACGTCAGAAAACCTTTTTTATCACAAGTATGATAGAAAAACCAGAGGCAGTACCGACTGAATAAAGCAGGAGCAGTCCTACGATGATCAGACCTTCATGAAGGACAATGCGGCTGATTTCAAGTAGGAAAGGTTGAAGTCGGCCAGAGAGAAAAACAATGTGGGAAATGAAAAAGTGAAAGAATAATAAAGGTTTAGGAGGGAAGAGTGCGGCCGCTTCCTGCAGATTCAATATGTACAATCAAACCCTGCAGGCTGAAGGAAAGTGAGCAGGTATCAGCTGCTCCGACTGTCAGTATTCACATATAGATACACTATTAACAAACAGACCACAACTTCACCGTTCTGCTGACTGGGAGCCGGTTTGTAAAACCAGTCTCTCCTCCGGCTCTGAACCCGTCGGCCAAAGTCTGACGGCAAACTTTACGTCTGTGTAGTTTCTTCCGGTAAAACCCGAAGGCTTCAGTCAGGGTGACCCGGCCGCGACAGACGACTAACACTTTTCGTTAAAACACAAAAATCTTAGGCTTCAATGACTGAAACTTTGTTCAGTGGCTGAATTTCTCCTTTGTCAGGTTTTAGCTGGTCAACAACCAGTTTTAACCTGACAAAAAGCTACATCCCCTTCATGTGGTTTTTGGGTTTGAACAAAGATTGTTTCAGTAGACATTCAGGTTGTTTAATAATTTGTGTTGTTGACTAAAGATGCAAATTTAATCTCCAGCTGACGTTTAAACGTCTTAAAATCCGATACGATGCACAAGTAGTCAGTCGCTCCAGGAAGCTGCGGTTGCATCGATTAAATTCAACTAATCTACGTTCCTGCAGATCCGACCAACCGCCCAGAGTCAAACGCTGCAAAACTAAAACTGAACAGCTCACTCACTGACGCAGTGTCACGGTAAGAGTCCAGATGTTACTCTGCAGATCCTCCTGAACACTTCGGCTTCAAGAACGGGTCTAAATGAATCCTGATCGATTCCTGCTTCTTCCTAAACGACAGATCAATATGTTTTCTTGATTTCCAACAACAAGCAGAGTTGAAGTTTCTGTTTGGATCAGTGAAGGTGGAACCAGATGTTCCTTCCTTTACAGAGACGGTTCTGGTCTGCGTCCTGATTACAACTCAAGACTAAGGCTGCTCAATTAATCGA